GAGGAGAGAGAAATCTATATATGAATTTTTTAATAATTTTTTAGAATATTGTTATTTGCTCTTTTAAAAAAAATTAATATAATTTATATGATAAATTTTTTAAATTCTTAAATGATATATATATAACTTAATCTAAAGATTAAAAGTATTTTTTAAATAATTTGTCTTAAATTTTTTTGAAAAAAAATTATTTGAAAAGTTTTTAGTTAAGAGTCCATGAATTTTAGAATTTATATTACAAGTTATCGGTTAAGATTTTGAATATAAAAGAATAAATTGTGTTCTTCTTAGCATAAAATTTATAAAAAAAAACATAATAAATATTTTGTTAAACATAGATTTTTTAAAAAATAATAGTTTTGTTCTTACCTTCTATTTAATATATTTTAGTAACTAACAACATAACACATATCATCAAATTAAAATTATTTTTTAAAATAAAATTTTATAAGTTTTGTCGAACTCGCAGCGTAGCACGGGTAAAAAACTAGTTAGCTTCTAAAAGAAAATGATGCTTTTTTCACATACAAGGTTGTTTAATTATTTTAATTAAAAGACAGAATAATCTTAAAGAAATTCTTAATAAATAAAACATGCTCTAAAAGCTATTCAGTTATGGGAAATTGTTTTTCAGACATAGCAAGTCACCCCAGATTGGGTTTATGAAAAAAGAATCTTCAGATTAGCAGAAGGTAAATTTTAAGCCCAAAAATCTGACAAATGTTTTTCCCTTGACAAATCAACCTTCGTGTTAAACAACATATATAGGTCTTCTATGTTCTTTCAAATGGAAGAAAGAAGCTGATCTGTGTTAAATTTTTGCTTAAGAATGTAACCGTGGAAGTTATGACAAGGATATGCGATTGATAAAGGAACAGACACAGGAGTATTAATGTTGTATGGCCCCATGCGGAACTGTTTAATGGGTTTCCCTGCAGACTCAACATTGTGTGTCATGTGACAATGTTTTTTTCGGGTTCAGTAATTTTTGTGGAATTTGATGGACTATCGTAAGAAAATCTAAAAACTCATTTTATTATTATCAAAGAGGTTGTAGCTCAATGGTAATTGTCTCTTACAAGTTGTTACAGATTCAAATCTTAATATACTAGTTCTCTTCCGAGCTTTGGGTATATAAGTTTTTTTTAAAAAAAAAACTTATTTTACTATTCACTTAATATTCATCTACACTTGTAAGCACATAATATTAAATGATATTATTGTGATTTTTAGACTTTATTTAGGCATTTGATAAGGTATTTTGTAAATTTAGGCTGATGTTTAGGTATTTGATATGCAAATTTTGATCAATATTACATTTTGGTTTCTATTTTTTAAAAATATTTGTTTTAATTTTAAACTTTATTTATATTACAATTTGGTTCCTGAATATGGATAGAAACAAAGAGAGAGAAACCTATGACAAGATCCATGTTAGCTATTTTGATCGTCAATTTTAGCTCTGATTTGTTTGTGTTGGCATGGAGAGAAAAAATTTATTTATAGTGATTTTAAGACATGAAATAGCTAGAGAAAAAAAAAATCAAAAACTCAATATTTTTGAGTTTTTTGAATTGATTTGGATTTTTGAGGTGCATTAACATGCGTTTCAAGATTTTAAACAAATTTTTTAACCTAATTTCAATGATTTTGAGGTATTGTGGGGCAAAAATATTGGTGAAATTAGTTTTAAATGGCCCCAAAGTGGTGTCTCAATTTTCTAGCTAGATTTTTTACAATCATAGTTTCGTTGGAAGTTGTAGTCAGTCAATGCATGAGTTGGCGACGTAACATCTGTTATATCACTTTTTTTTTTAAAAAAATAATAATAATAAAGAGCCGGCATGCATGTGTCTGGCCACTGCACGAGTGGACCAGCATGCCTAGCACCCACAATCCCAATTTTTTTTTTTTTTTTTTTGGGGGGGGGGGGGGGGTCCATTTTGTTAATTATTTGATTTTGTTCTTGAATTTTGATAAATTTATAATTATTTTTATGAATTTTCTGTAACCTAGCGAGGAAGAAATACCATAATGTGTTTTCATATTTTAGACTTAACATATATTTCAAATTATATTACTCTTATTATTTGAAATCCATCCCTTAAATTTGTCACTATTCATAGAATTCTCATCCAATTAATTTTTTTCTTTTCCTTTTTATTAAATTTTATTTATTTACAAATATGATTTATTTTTCATTATGTTTGGATTTTGAATTAAATTTTTAAAGACATGATTATTTTCTTTTATTAAAAAATAAAATATATAAACATTTTATATAATGTATTCTTATAATTTTTAAATGAGATTATCATGATTCTAAATATATATGTTTGATCTAGAGGCTGAAAGTGTATTGTAGAATTTTTGAAAATAATAATAATTAATTAATAATTAAAAGTAGGAAGTGAAAAAAGAAGAAGTAATTGTTATAAATACAAGGCATATGTACGAAAACCAAGCATATATGGTTTAGAAACAAAATATTTGTTAAGAAGGAAAAAACATGGAATCCAAGTGTTTTGTTTACTTATTCTTTGTATAATCAAAATCTATTAAAATAAATTTTACAAGGAGTTTTATTAGAAATTAACTAAGCATATGCACACAAGACACCTGAACATTTACTTCTTTTTTTCTACAAAAATAGATGTTTTGAAATTAATTTCTCTAAAAAAAATAATTAAAATTATGTTTAAAAGAAAACATGTACCGACACCATACTTTTCGAATAGAGTTTTTTATACTAATATTATTAACTATTTTTGATATATATATATTCAAAAATTAATCTTCTCATCAATATTTAATAAGTATAAATTTTTATATAATATTTTAACATTAGTTGTTGCTTTATTTGTTGATATAATCTTATGAAAAAAAATATTAAATTTGTAGATGTTGTTTTTTTGATTTGTGACTAATTGAAACTCACTCTTTAGAATAGTACAAACTTTTACTTAAGAATTCCTACATAAAGAAAAAACAAGTCTTTTTTTTTTAAATGAAGGAAATATATTTAAAAGAATGTAAAAAAGAATTAATTAAATATAAAATTTCGATTAAAAGTTCATAAAGTCTGGTGGGAAAAAAATGCCTTTGATTTCTATATACTTTGTTGGGCTCATAACATGATGAAAACTATAAAATCAGAATGATTTTTTCAAATAATTTCATATATGATATGTCCAATCCGTAGTGTAGTACATAAGCCAACTAGTATTTGCTACATCTTATTGTTATGTCCCACAAAAAGAGGAATGTTTTTGAAAGTTAATTAAGAATGTTAGATAAATTTGAAAGTTTCGGAATACTATGGAGCATGCAAGAACCTTTAGGATTTTCAAAATAAATCTAGATATATTCTAAAGAATTCTAAAGAATTTCTCGATATTGTAAATTACGTATATCTAAATAGCTTTGTGTAAATATCTAGATAGAATAATTTTAGAAAATAAATTATAATTATTAGATTTAATAGATCTTAATCATTCATTAAAGAGGTAGAAGACCACATACGGAAGAGATCTTCATTTGCTCAATTCATCTAGAAAGTGTTATCTAAGATAGAATATTGAAAATCCACTCTAAAAGTGTAAACTAGAATTGTAAGCATTTAAGAGAAATACAAAGAGTTTTTTACTAGTTTTAACGTGTCTTACTTGCTTTACAAATTAAGGAGAGAGTTAGATTGACTTCGTTCGGCTTAAGTGAAAATTGAGCCAATTGCTGCACAAGACAGAGATTGGAAAATGCCAAATTCGTGACATTATGCTAGTTTTTCTTGAATTATTTTTTCGAGGGCATATACTTTCAGAATAATTAATTAAATTGCTTTGATTAATTGCTAATCGTGACTTGTTAAAGAAGTCGAGCGCTCCAAGGTCCAGCCAGGCCTTAATACTGGTGGACCTTCGTTGCAGCATTTACAGAAGAAGAAGTCAAAAAATAGAGAATCTAGTTTATGGTTCCACTCTCCTGATATTAAGAAACATGTTCATTAAATTGGCCAAAAAGAAATATGCTTATTGAAACAAAATTTGTTTTAAAAAACACAAGTTTTTAACTTTTTTGTTAGCTTCCAATATTTAAAAAATTTTTTTTTTTATGTAATTTCAATTTTATCCGGATATTCCAAGTTTTTATGTTTCTAATACTTTTCTTATATTTTCTATTTTATGAGGTTTTCAAGTTTTGTTAGGTTTTTAAAACATTAAATTTTTATTTGTTTATGTTTAAAAAATTAAATGTTCTTTTAGTGGTTTGAAGAGCTTTTTTATTCATAAAGTGGCAAAATGACATATGAAAAAAAAAAACCCCGAAAGTTAAAGTTAAAGGATTTATGAGAGTGAAAATGTTTTTTTTTAATACATACAGAAGAATGCACCCACTATACAGAATAGTTGAATACAATCTCCCAAAGAATTTTAATCTATTGTTCAAATACTAGTCATAAGGGTAATTAACTTTGAAAAACAATTGAGAAATGCTTCGATAATACAAGTTCAAATGGTGTTGTGGTTGATTGTGTAAAATAAATGTGTTGTTTAGGGAACTAATTTTTTTTTTAATAAATTGTTGGTGGAAATAGAGAGAAAATAATACAAAATATTAATAATGATTGGATATAGATAAATAAAAACATCATTTGAGTGTATTTTGATATAGAAAGGAAGGGAAAAAATAAAAATAAAATAAAAAGAAAGGATCCCTTTGGGGTAGTAAAATTTAATGAGAAAACATCTATTCTAGGATCAGAAATTCAGCAACGCAGGCAAAAAAAGAAATGATGCTGCATGGAAAAAACGATAGTCAATTCACATTCATGTTGAAGATCCCTTGAAATCCAAGATCAACAACTGTAATCACATCAAAATATAGAACTTCAATTACTGTAATTAGATTGGAAGTTTTGTTCGGAGCTATTCAAGAAACCTGAAGCGGGAGCTTACTGTCATTAAAGCATAATTTGTAAGAAAATCTCTAAAATCCTGCATCTACTGGTATCCTTGACCCTTCCCTTCAAATTCAATGTCACCACTGAAATCACTTACTTCAGAAGAGTGCATCTGATGAGGAAAGCCCGACATAGGAAATTGCATAGATGGCGTAACTGGCAGTTTGGTAGGAGCAATATAGGTCATTGAGGAATCTGCATTGTTGAACCATACATTATCCCACATCCATGGTGTGTGGTTAACAAAAGGCAGTTTATTACTACTGGACTTGAAACTAAATTGATCCCTGTTATTCTGATTGTATACATCTTCCATTACATGTGGATGCGACGAAGTCCTAGGAGCAGTCTGCTTAGATTGGAAATGCATTGGTTGTTGAACATTCAATGACTTTGCTTCGCAAGAAAGTTGCAAGTCGGTCAGATTGTTACTGTGCCAATCCCAAAAATTTGCACTCATTGTATACTCATGAGCATTCTGTTTAGATTGGAAATGGACCGGCAATTGAACATTCAAAGGCCTTCGTTCAGAGTAAAGCTGCAAGTCAGTTGGCTCCAATAAGTTGGTCATATGTGAACTCTGCTCAGGGTAGAATAGAATAGGTGGTTGAGCATCCAAGGGCTTCGGATTGTGAATAAGCTGAAAGCAATTAGTTGGATACCTGTTGTTACTGTCATCTCTATTCTTCGTGAAGCTTTCCATGTCATACAAGACGTTTGGACTAAGCGAGGTAGCTTGAACCCACGGTGCACTGTTATCCATGCCATTCTGAAGTTCTTTGAAATTGCCAAGTTTCTTATCAGCAATTTCAATTTTAGCATCCAACTGACTAAGAAGTAACCTTAATTGATCTGCATAGAAACCATTGAGACGGTCATCCCATGCGGGGTACTTGGCTTTGATAATTTGCTTGTGCAATCTTGCAAGCTCCGAATCAACCTGTTTCCTTTTATCAGCAAAATAGTCAGAGACCTGATAACATTTTTTCGGTTGATCGCTATCCTTGTACTTGTTGATAATACACCGAACCTCATCAGAATTTGGAGGCCAAGTCTCAGCTGTAGAAGGTTGTTGATCGTCATTCTGCTTTGGTCCAAAGACTATTACGCATGCATCAACACCGCAAAGAATAGAGAACTCAGAAGCCTTCTTAAGTAAGCCTGCCTTCCTCTTTCGGAATGTAAGCATACGAGACTTCTCCTTCCTTATCAGTTCCATTTTCAGCCTTTTTTGACCCATTGTTTGATCTACCACAATGGGGGTAATAGTCAGAAATATAAAGCATGAATTTTGATAACAATAATATGTTGTAGAAAACAAACAACATTAATGTACCACAAAAAAAAGAAAACATTAATGTCTCTAACTATTCAGTAGATTAATTCCAACGGGTTTCTTTTCTCTAATTTCCGTTTCTTTTATTCTTGTGTGGCATTGTTTTGCTTCAATTTCAAGCAACAGATGCATTTTCAGTTAGAACCAACAATATCAAAACAGCAAATCTTGAAACATCTTCTCAATTAATCTTTCTTTTTTTCCTTTCAAACCAGAATTTGATCCAGTCATATCTCCACCTAAAATACCTTACTCAAAAGGGCAATATCTAGGGAAACTTTCAATCGTGCAATAAGCAAAAAAAAAAAAAAATGGAGCAAAATATCCTTTTCTGTCAACTGAAATTGAAAAAAAGAATTGATGGTCAAAAAATTAATTTTGATAATTAACAGCTTTGACATTTACAATATAGTAATAGTAAAAACTTCATTTCACAGTTAGATCATTAAATATATGGAAATAATAATAATAACAGCAACTTTTTCTAGCAAGAGTTGCATGTTCTACCTGAAACAAAATTGTCATCAATTAGAGTTGTAATCAAGCCAAAAAAAAAAAAAATCTATTTTGATATAAAGCATATGAAAGGAAGAGTTGAAAAGTAAAAGCTTTCATGAAACCCTTAAATAGAAGCTACCTTTTTAATTTCTTCCAAACAAAAACAAAAGCTAATTTTTCATGAAAAGATAACACGTACGTTAGTTATTACTATAACAGATATAAAGACAAAGAAAGAAAAAAATTAAAAGAGTAGAAAGTAGAAGAAAGTACCTTTAATGGCTGCTCACAAAAACTCCCAAAACCTAATTTGCCACTCAATGCAACAACAATCCATATTTCTATAACCCTTATGGCCCTTTATTATATAGGAAACATGTAAGATCTCCAACCCTTATGGCCATTTATTATATAGGAAATATGTAAGATCTCCATGATCTCTAACACTTATTTGCTTTCCCTTTTAAGAAAAAATGTAATAATTTTTCTTATTTCTAGTCAAGGAAAAAAAAAAAACAGTCATAATGCACCTCAGTTATGGGGAGAGGTTTATTGCTTTTGATTGCATTGATGGATTTGCGGCGATTAATTTATTGCAAGGCTACGCAGTTGACTAACAACCAGAGATTAAGGTTATACAGCCACAAGAGCGCTTGTTTGATGGATTGATTTCCTGCGAACTAGCTTGTCCTGTGGCTGGCTGGTCTAATTTTATACCTAGTAGGGTTTCTTTTTTATTTTATTTTTTTCATGCATAATATTTCTGAATTTAATGGAGTGGGTTTGCTCCTCTTCTGCTGGCTTTTATTGATTTATTTTTTTCAATCCTCAATGGATATTTTAAAATTGATTTAATTAATGGTCAACCCTGACTTTCTTATTTATAGGTGTTGATGGTATTAAGAAAAGAACTGCAAGGGAAGAAAAAAAGGTCAAGTGCAAAAATGTTCAGACAGGCCTCAATACTGGCGGACCTTTTACAGCATTTGCGCACACAGACGGTACTATCTCCCAAAAAAGAAAAAAAAGAAAAAAAAAAGAGAGAGAGAGAGGGAGGATATGCAGTTCACATCTAATAAAAATAATCATCAGATTCGGAGTCATAGTAATCATACTCATCCTCGTCCTCGTCCTCATCAAAGTCTCCATCACTTTCAGCATACAAGATATTCTCTTCCGCCCAGAGTGGACAAGAACATGTTGCTTTTTTGTCCTTCCACTCAGATCCACAATTATAGCAAAACTCAAAGCCACACCTGCCAAAACATCACAAAAATCAGAAAAGTGAGAATCTAGTTTATGGTTTCACTCCCTAATGTTAAGAAACGTGCCATAACCATCTTCAATGGAAGCAATTACAAAGACTCCATTTCACTATATTGCCAGTAATATACTCTCCAGAGGGGGAAAAAAATGTCAGTAATATAGCTGCTATAGACTACGCTCTTAAGTATATCCTCCCATGGATTGGTTCTAACTGAAGATCAGATACAAGAAACTAAAATTCTGATAATGTAGCTTCACGGAAGCAGAACAAAAGCTAAGCAGCGTGAAAGATATTTCTTATTTATTTTTTATGGATGCAAAAGGGGGAAAAAGAAAAAAGAAAAAAGAAAGATACTCTATTTACACTGGTTGCATTTTGCACCCAATGTTTTGAAAATGACACTATCCTTAGCTTACCACGTTAAATAACACTTTGCACCCCATATTTATTCTCTCCTGACTTGACAGTCACATCTACCCTTAGTCGAAGCCTTTAAGAAGATTATTAATCCACAGTGCACATCTATCAGGCAAATTTCCGACTTGATGCTGTGGTTAATACGAGAACAGAGAGGGCACAATGGGTTGCAGATTTTTTATCCTCCTCCAAGGTGCATTTGGGAGTTGATTAAAAGAGATCTCATGGGCACAACAGCCCCTAGATTCCTTCTTTGTCTTAGGGGCTAGGGCTATGCCCCTTTACTTACCGGTTACACAAAAAAAGCCCTATCCTTAGTGAAACTTAACAGAAAGCATTGGAGATCGCCATTGATGGGATCAGCGAAATTTTCAAGCAAATTCTTGGTGTCATCTTTCTTAATATAATCACAATTATATGTTAGCCATTAGTTCTGTATTTTAAGCTAGGTGCATCAACAGCTGGCTCTCTTAATTTTGAGCTAAATCTGTTTCATACTGATCTGATTTGTCCTCCAAGTTGGTGTCCACATGCTCCCCGCACTGTCAAAAAATCTTCTGCCACCACTACCAGTGTGTCTTCACCAACATCTTGTTCCTCCACAACTTAATGGACTACAAAAACTATAAGTCTTTTCTACATGTCTGAATTTCAGTTAACCTACTATCTTTTCTAGCCATAAGTTTTTGGTTTCTTTCATCCAACAAACCCTAATGATAAATGAACCATTGATCTTCCACAGTTGAGGCCGTAACAGAGCTGTGTTGGCTTTGGTTTCATTGGATAAAAGTGTGTGAATTAGGTTTCATTTGCGTGGGTTTTGGGTGATAGGTTTTGTTCACAGGATTTTTTTTTGGAAAGATAGGTTCTGGTTCATGATTGAATTTGTAATTATTAGATTTCAGTAAATCCAAAAGCTATAGGCAGATTAGTTTTGAAGTTCTTCATGCCTTTCAACTTCCATTTTGAATACTCCCGATCTGGTGTAAATCCACCAAACTGCTCTTTTTCCTTCCTAATCCTTTTGCTCTATCAGAGCCAGCAAAGCAGAAATCAATGCAATTGTTACTGCTGATCAATGCTCCTGTTTTCAAAAATTGACTCTGTAACCATTAACTCAAGAGATCTATGCTAGCATGGTGTTCATTCATTTTAATCAGTTTTCAATTAAACTAGATTGAATCCATTCATCATTTTATAAGAAGAGTCTCTTTTGAATCCAAACCTATAGATAGCAGCTTAACACTAGTAGAAAGCACTAGGATGCAAACTGTAGGAAAGAGGCAGAGAATAGATGGGCAAAAAACTGTTAATGGACTTTTACATTGACAGGATCTGTATTAACATTACCAAAGTATGCTAAGCTTATTTCAGAAAACAGAGGATAAAAAGCATCAGACAGTAAACAGATGATGTTTTTTGTAATGTTTCCTTAAGGTCCTGTCTAGGTTTGATAATTCAACATGCAATAAAAACTATGAATTCTTTAGCCTCATTGGCTGTTTGTAAATCTAGATATTTAATTCAACAAACAACCTTTTGCTAAAAAAAATGCATTTAACCGTTCTCAAACAAGTCAATTGGGAACGATCGAAGGTGTACCTGCAAGTCATGTGGTAACAACCTTCAGCAAGTTCAATCATATGGTTGCACTTCACACATTGGCGCCATAGGTTCCTTGTTGCAAGAGATTTCAGTTTGACATCTTCTGCAGGGTTATCAGGATTCAACCTTTTGTAACTATAACATGTCATATTATTATGCCATGGGACCTTGCAATTAATACAAAAAAGACCATGGCATTTCAAGCATTTCCTAGCACCAACAAGTTGCAAACCAGCAGCAACTGCACTTTTAGCATGCTCAGAAACCTCATTTTTTGACATCAATGCTGAACATTTTGGATACGGGCAGTAAATTTTCTCTGAAACAGGTATCGAAGCTTCCTTTATACGTAAGCACATAGTCTCGATTAATTTAGGTGTCAAGAATTTTCTACAACTTTCAACAGTAAGCTCAGACTGACAACCTTCATGAGGGCATTTTGGCATCGTTCCATGAAGCAATTTAACCTCCACATGCTGTTTCATACAAGAAATACAGTACCTGTGCTGACATCCATCAACCGAGAAGATATGATCGCCATCAGTATCTTCTAAACAGATAACACAAGCTTCAATAATGGCAATCCTCTCGCGGCTGGATTCTGCTGCCTGCCTAGTGAGCTGAGAAACTATTGCCTCTCTAGCAAATTTAAATGCATATTTAATATCATTTCGCGGCACAAGAAAAGGGTTGCAATATACAAACTTCTTTTGAAGAAGGGCTACCTGATTGATTAACATTGCAATCTTCCTCTGCTTAGCCAACCATCTCCCAGTAACGAAGTTATAAAGTGGATAAAAATCGCAATATACAGCAATCCTCTTAAGGTCCAAAGCAAGAGCAGCGTTAAGGCCTTCAATCAAAGCCTTAGCCTCGGCCACGTTCTTGCTCGTTCCAGTCCCAATCAATGGCTTGCTTATCTCGAAAACCAAATTATTTGTCGGGTCACAAATCGCAATTCCAATTCCACCTAAATTTTTCTTATCTTCTTCACTAATCAAACCCTTGAAATACAACTTGAATACAACCGATGCAGTATCTTCTTCTTCTACTAGTTTTGACGAGGACGATCCCTCGCCGAAGGGTTTCTCGAAATCATCTCCCCAATCTAGCCACTCTTCCTCCGGTATTTTCAGAATATCTCGCGCTACTTTCTGATCATGGATTCGACGGTCAAGATCTTCTCTGATTCTGCGCATTTCGAATTCTGATTGCCTGCGATCGTTTATCTCTTGTTCTAACTTAGAGATTTCTTCACATTGTAGAGTGTGAAGAAAGGTAGTATTTTCGACTTTGCTAATCGGTGGTGATGCTGTTGAGGAGGAGGCGGAGGCGGAGGCTGAGGTGGAAGGGAGGAGAGTGATGGAGGCGTTCATGGCTTCTTCGAGTTGAAGTCGGAAGGCAAGGTCGAGGTCAGATTCTAGGGTTTGGGCCGCCATGAGTTCTCGGCGCTGTTCGGAAAGGAGGGAGGGAAGGTTGTCGTCTCTGCCGGTGAACGGGTCCATACTGAGTTACTGAAGAAGAAATAAAAAATATTTCCCTCTTAACTGCCGAAGATGGTCTTATATATTGGTTTTGGGCCAGAAGGCCCAGGATCCATTTACTCGTGGATTTCCATTTTTCCTTTTTCTTAAAAACGAGGGCAAGTCAGGCAATGGCTTTTCTATTAAGCTCCTTAAAGTATTAGACGTTTCTCAATTGAGTCTCCTCTGGATTCAGTTAATGCTTGTCTAAGTTGTAAATACTGTGTTTGGTTAAAGAGGTAGAGTTTTACTGAAGACGAACAATAATTTACAGTTCTACAGTAACTAGGACACACGATAACCATGAATTTCCACGTGCCGTAGACACCTTTTTATAACAAAGTAAATTATAAATTAATCCCTTTGTTTCTCAAAAGGAATTAAATATAAGAATTAATTAATTAGTTTTTATATTTTTAAATCTATTTGTAACTCTATATTTTTTTTGTTTATATAAATAAAATAAATAAAAATTAGATAAAAAATATAAAAAGATCGATGAAAAAAATATATTTTTGTGGAATAAAATAATATTAAATTAATTATAGTCAACATTGTTCAAAAAATTAATTAATTAGTTTTTTAAAATAAAAAATATTATATAATTTATTTTGCAAAACTAATTTATAATTTACTTTTTTATGACGTTGATACTTCACACTTTTTACCTTTTTTTTCCTTACTCCTAAATGCTATGCAGCATACCATTGGATTGTTTTTCCTTTGAACATGAAGTACGTTATGCTTTTGAAATTGTGTGAATTGCACACATTGTTTTTATTATGAAACATATATAATATACATAATATGAATTAGTAAAAAAGTAATCTTCTAAAAATTTGAATTTGTAATTTGTAATTTAAATCAACGATTACATTTGAATTTGAATTATAAATCAAAATTCAAATTAATGATTAGATTTTATTTGAATTTATAATTTATTATTTAAATCAATGATAATAATTATATTTAATTTGAATTTATAAATTGTAATTCAAATCAATGATAACTATCATCTAATATGTAGCACTAAATTTTCATACTTACTACGTCAATGGAAACATTTTAGAATTATCTTTTTGAATGTGTTTTTATTAGATAAAAATAGCTAAATTTTTCCCAAATGCTATAGAAGTAGAAAGATATTTAAGTGAAACTTCTTGTTAATTTACAAGAAACACTTGGTATGTGGATTATTAGATATTTTTCTAAAATATTATTGTTGAAAATTATATATAATAATAAATTTACAAATAATTTAAATAAATTTATTATTTTATTCTGAAGTTTAAAGCATTTAATTTGACACTGCGATATTTTTTTACATATAAATTATTATGTCTACAAGCACACGAATGTTATATTAATTGTAACTCCTAAGTAAAATAATTTATTTATTAACACATTATATATATATATATACACACCACTTTTTTTTCTATTAAAAAAGGATAATGATATGTTAGTCCATTTCATATTAATAGGATATTTTTAGTTAAAAAATTAAAATTCTTTTTATTCGTTATCTAAGATAACGTGATTTTCCTCATTTTAAAGTGTCATTACATTCTTTGATTTATTGAAATTTAACATTTTTTTAAAAACCAGAAGCAATTTTCTTTGACATCTAAAATGCCTTGACAGAGAAAATTAGAGACTCTTCCACACCAACTAATTGAGAGATACGGGGGAACTCAAGCAATCTGGATTAAAACTTTTTAACACTTTGGGTGATAAAACGACACTGTTTTAAGGAAAAATTGACGTTTTCCATTAAAAAAAATGGGAAGATTTTTAAACATGGGATCTGGTTGAGAAATGCTCCATCCATTGGGGACCTAATTGAAAACACTGGGGAGTTATATTGACAATCAGTTCATAGTTTGGCGACTAAGTTGAGATTTTCCATGACAACAAATAGCTGAGATTACATGGCCTGTCTGAACATCAGGGAATTTGGAACTGGGAGGTTCGTTTGCCGTTTCTTTTTGTTGGGTTTTGGGTTACATTCCTGGTTCATCTTCTTTTTGTATTTTATTTTCGCTTGGTTTCAATTTTTTATATAATTTTAGAATCTGGTTTTTTCCTTTAAATTCTTACACTTTGTTCTTAGTTTCTTGATTTACTAGTCTTTATCATAGATATAGATAAAAAAGAAGAAGAAGAAGAAGAAGTGGATGGAAGCAGAGTTGATAAATGCAGAGCTGGTGTTGCCAACCCACTTTAGTTTCAAGAGAATACAGATATATGAGAAATACCCAAAAGGCCAACCAAGAGGTCGCTGGAAACACCTCAAACAGATTCTTCAAGCTGAGAATTATCAGAACCACCCTCCTGATGAACCCAACTGTAAACTCCTCTCTTAAAAACAACCCCCTTTTTATTACTTATTTAATTTGCAAATTAGTTATAATTTGTTTGATACGTCGTTAAAGAAAGTTTTCGTTTTTGGATGAAAAATGGGAAGCCCGCATTTTCCATTGAATTTCAGTATTTGTGGGTTCCTCATCTGGGACCCCTGAATGGTGAAATCTTAAGGGAAAATGTAATGACAATTTTTTGGAACAATGGGTGCACTGGAGATTTTTTTTTTTTTTTTTACGTTGTTTTCTACCTGTTGTTAAACAAATGAATAGCATGGTTTAAATTGCTCTTTTTAAAAAAAAAAAAATTAAGCAGATGGTTGTATTTTTTTTTAAGGTTTTCGCTGTTGGTATTGAAATTAGTTTTGGCTTGATAAAAGGTTTAATTACCTTTGTTTTTATTTTTTTCCCCCTTTGCAGATGTTAATATTGAGTCCCCGCCATCCATGCACCCGCCTATGAGAATATGCGATATAACAGGATTCGAGGTATGTGTTTCTGCTGATATGTGTTTGGTGCTTGATAATGGCAGATAAGTTCGTTAGTATTTCTAGTTCATTTGTGAATGATATGACCAACTTAGAATTTAGTAGGGTTTAGATCATGGATGAATGAGGCTGTCACTGGCAATATATGTAAATTTTAACGGGTCAAAATTAGAGAAATATCCTGTAAATTGATAAATTGAGAAATATTTTTCAGTGTCATCATTGATCAATATTCATAATTAGAATCATCTCCTTCAAAAGTCCTTTTATTTTGAGTGCCTAGAGGAGGAGCTATTTTCTGCATCAAAACCTTGCTTTAGAATTCTCAGTGTTCATTAGTTGAGTTATTGGCTATTGATTTTTGTTCAGCATTTTATGCATTGCCTGCTATTCAGCTAAGGTTCACTAACTGTCACTCTTTAAACTTTTCAAATATGGTTTTGCTTGAGCTTAAGCTTCTTCAACATCATACAAGCATATTCTTTATCTCGTTCAATGAGATTGAGGATTCAAATTTCAACAAAGAATTCAGAAGGAGAACTGGTTTCTTTTACTTGACTTAATTGACCATGGTGTGTTATTGTGTCAGTTTCATGGTGAGACATTTTTTGGTGTGGAAAATCATGAACCTATTGGTTGCTGAGGATGAATAACATGGTTGCATACTTTTGAGTTGAAACTGTGAACACTAGAAACTATTGGTTGGGAAAAAGAACTGAAGGATAGATTTATTTGACCTCATTTAACCTCAACGTAATCCTGTAACTTCAAGGAGGCAGATCTGATCAATTTGTATCTTTAAGTATCCCTAGGACATCCTTAGCTGAGTATAGTATCATTAGCTGTTAATCACTGTTGTGCTTAATAAGAATTTCCTGCTTTTCAATTAAGTTTCCCCTAGCTATCACTATTTGAGCTCATTGTATATGGTTTGGTTGAGCTTGCTCTTGCTTGGAATTTTACAAGCTTATTGCCTAGCCAACTCTGTGAAATTTAGGATTAAAGTTCCAACAATACCAGAATTCGAATCGAGAACTGGTTTATAACCTGCTTTAATCAGCCATATGGTTTCTTATGTCAATTACATGTTGAGTCATATTTGGTTTGGAATATGACGAACATAGTTATAAGTAATATTGCTGAGGATTAATTACTTTATTGTATGCCACTGCTCGTTGAAAATGTGAGAACTAGAAGCTATTGTTTGGTAAAAGGAATTGAAGGCTCTGATCCAACCTCTGGGTAATGCTGCAACTGTAATGAGGCAGATATGCTTAATTTGTCTCTTTGAAGTGCCCCTAGGACAACTATAACTGAATGCCACATACACGAGCTTCCTTTTAACTGGAAGGAGTTATGCTGCTGAGGTTTAGATTGCCCAACATGAGTGTCACTCAAGCCTGTGCTTACCTTGTTTAGCTTGCTGCAGAACTTGAAAGTGATTAGCATAGCTCAAGATGTTCACTTAGACACCATATGATATTGATATCAACTCCATTCATCCCACCAAATGCTGAATGAACGTGCTATGATTAACTTCTACAATTTTGGATGCTAGTTATAACAACATGGAAAGGTATACCTTTTCAGTTTACAGATCTCTCATAAACCTTGCGCAACTTCTGCAGGCACCTTACCATGATCCAAGGACCAACCTCCGTTATGCAAATACGGATGTCTTCAAGCTTGTAAGATCACTTCCAAATGAGTATGTGCAAAGGTACCTAGCTTTGAGAAATGCAGCAGTTACTCTGAAATAGCTTGCAAGTATTTGTATGTCAGCCTGTTCCTGTTTTTGTTTCTGTATGAAATAGGCTACAAATGTGAAATGGGTTCCCTCAATGGGATAGATCTTTATTTATTATCTGTAATCTGCATTATGGAGCGAGTAAGCAGGATTATGTGCACCAAAAATTGTCTGAAGTGTCTGGGGCTATTCTACATCTCCTCTCCCTCCCCTAACCTTCCCTTGAGCTTTAATTTGACTTAAAGCAATTAATGTGTCATGTGTGTGGTTTTAGCTTAGGTAAAGTGCATTCTTGTAATTGGATGGAGATGTTAACAGTGCTATTGCAACTGCCTGCTAAAGTTCTGCTATATCGGCCTTGACCTTTTTGCTGGCTTGTTATATCAGGCAGTTGATAAGTTCTTGAATGGTGTCGTCGTGTTGGATATAATAGTTGTGGAATCTGCTCTATCCTAGCTCCTAACGTTTCCATGTTTTGTGACATGAATGCTTTATTTTGAAAGAGAAACCCTTTTGTTTTCTTTTATGCTTCTTAGTTCCATATCAAAGTTAGGGTCAACACTACTCAATTGGATAACAAGTACCCTCGTTGAGAAAAAAATCGCCAATATTAGCTTTCCTTGTTTTCATTTTGTGCAAGGATAGAGCCGCCTGATCTAGAACGAAGACACCAAAGTTTCCAAAATTTGAACAGTTTGCATCTCTGTTAATCTAGCAAACCTTTCATCAGAGTTAAATCCCTTTAGCACCCACTCTCTGAGTCTCTGACAACCAATCAAATTTTGTTGCTAAAGCTGCAACTTAATTTCACTCTACATAACAGCATTCATTTTGGTTCAGGATAAGCTCAAATCAACTAGTTTACAACGACTAGATGAAACCATCTTTCCTTTTCTTTTCTTTTCTTCATCTAGTTCTGTTGCGGACAGAAGTCATTGTCAAATGTAGTGACACTGTCTCTTCATTCAAGATGTTGCACCTACTACTACTTAGGATGTAGCTCCCAAGGGGTACATGTGTGTGATTTTTTGTTAAATCTATCGCAATATAGAGCTATGCAGTATCATCAATAACCAGAACCGATGCCTGAAGGGATCATTAGATAGTTTGGAAATGCCATCATGTTTTAGATATGCTCTTCTGCCAAACGCATATCGTCAACACAGCCAACAAACAACCCTGAATTTCATTCCATTTTTTATTGACTTCAATTTAGTGGAAATGCAATATTGCGTATGGCGATCATATTCACTTGGTCTTCTTGAGCTCGTATTTTCTTTTTCTTTTTCTTTTTTCCCCTGACAGGATGACCTTTGACAATTTAAAGATAAGCAGGCAAAATGAAACAGAAATTGAAAACCATTATGGTTAGGATGAAACTCGTTGATCATCCAAGCTACAACTTGGAGCTGTTACCAGCAGCTGTTGTATCATAAACTTTAAGGAAGAATCGTGTCCTGGGGATTGATAACTTGACCTCAAGAATTGTGCCAAGGGTAGCAATTAGATTCCTCTTAACTTGTTTGGTAATGCCACCCATTGACACTATCTCTGCATATGCAGCTGGTTCTTTGTTCCCGTTGAATGATATGGCCACAGGTCCTTTAAGTATCACCATCACGAGCTGCATAAATATGAGAACATAAAAATTAAAAAGAAAATAAATGTGTAAGGAATATTTTTAGAATTTTGGTTGTGTGCTAGTGAGGAATATGTTAGATGCAACGCATGCTGGTCCTATAGAACATGCAATGAATTTGTAGGCTTTCAACAATTCTTGTCAAAGGATGTGATTGTGGAAGAGCCATCATGAATTATGGGGCATAGGCCATAGGTCGTCTCCTGTTTTCCGGATAAGCACTTACCTTTTCTTCATCAACAAGAATCTCCATGTCACCAGTGATTCACAAAAAAACCCCCTCACAAAAAACTTGAGTCCTATAGGTATATAATAATAAGGTAGCAAATCCTCTCATTCATAGTTTTAAATGCATCTTACTGCACTACTAAAACTACTCAATCAACAGTAATAAAATATTCTAAAATCATTATATAAATGCCATTATGTACCTAACGATTGTTATTTAAATCTATCTTATCCCTGTTCATGCAGCCTTTTCTTCCGGTTAGGTAATCCCTTTCACTATTTTTGTACTAAAAAATAGGTTAAAACACCCCTTTAAGAGATGAAAGTTAAGTGCAACAGTTGGCGTGTTTTTTCTATTTCCAGGCACTTTCAAGTTTAGACTTCCAAGAGAGAGGAAACTTTGAAGTAGTTCCAGCTGCAGGGCTTTGTCTTGGCTTGGTTTTGAAAAAAAAAAAAAAAGGCTGGATAGATGCAAGTCAGGGTGTGATTATGATGTCCTAATTCTTACTTTTTTTTTTTTTTAATGAAAGGAAATTCTTTCATTCCTTCGTTCACATTTGCGTGTGGGACCTTGCACAATAGCACTTTACTAAGTGTTTTGCACTAACACAACTGCAGTCACTTAAATGCCTAAGGAATTGACAGCTACAACTATGCATACCAAAATGTCCTGTGACCCCTAGCCCACTAACAAGGTCTTTTCTTCTTGTCTCCATTATAATCCACTCAAATAATATGGTACAAAACAACAATTAATCAATAATGCTTGGTAAACAACTTGTTATTATTCAAAAGAGAACATAAGAACACATCTCATTGTGCCCAAGTTTCTTAATTTTTATCCAATATTGTTGTTCATCATGTTGGTATGTACGAGTGGGTTTGTGTAAAAATAAATGATTATGTATCCATCGTTCTAGACGGCTAGAAATCACGTGTGGTCTCTATATTGTTGTACACATTTAGTCATAAAACCCTCTATAATTTAATGTTGGTCAAATCAATCCCTATATTTCAGTTAAAAGCCAATTAAGGTTGCCTAGCCGATCCCTTTTACAACTTACGGCGTTCGTCTAGCCATTTAGTTAGTAACCAAGTTCCATAAAATGGCTAAAACCACCTTTCAAGGAAGGAAGAGAGGTAGATTTGAACAAATTTACGATAGAGTGTTTGGTTTGACCAAATTTATAAAGTACAAGTACCACACAAGATTTATGCATTACCATGATTAAACTACTACACCTTAGCCAAGTTGCCTTAAAAAAAGGGGCCATTACGAAAAAGTTTGGTTTGGAGTACGTCATAGGAGATAACCCCTTCAGCTAGCTAGGGCCTAGGAAAATGATCATGACTCCTTAGCATTACTCTCAAAAAGATTTGAATTGAACTTCAAAAAGATTGTCCCAAAAACTTGAAAATCAAAACTGAAATCATCAAAAAGATTGTCCCAAAACTGAAGAAGGAATAGGGGAACATGATCCTTATTGGAAGCTGACAAATTATTTAACTTACCATTAAGGAACGTGGCCTGCTTAAAATACTAACATTTATAATTAACAACTGATCTTTCTTCTATATTCAAGCAAACTTCCTTAAGGATCACCATTAAAGAACATCAACATATTTGAAAATACAAACTGAAAGATCTAATCCCTTATTGATTTCTTCTTCCACACTACTTGAAAATTAAGAATCCAATATATAGTTATTAATATTTCGAAGTGAATGAGACATGCATTTTTAGGTCACAAAATTTAAACCCGAACAACAACACTCTACTAGTATAAGCAAAAGAGAAATGAAAGAAAATTTTTGAAGGGATAGAGAGTTTTTACATGTTCAGGTCTGCCGATAATGGTAGCAACAGCTTTTGTGGCCTCGGAGAAGATGGGATCCTTATCAGCATCATCAAGGTTGACATTGGTAGAGATATAAAGACAAGGCATCTTATCTAATTTTGATCTTTGTCTCTCTCTCTTTCGTGCTTCTTCTTTGTAAGTTGGTACTAAATATGTGTGTGAGAAAAAGTTGATTCACCAAAAAGATTAGGGACTGGAAATCTGCAGTTCTGGCTTCAAGAAATGATGCCTAAACCCTACTTATATAATTGAGGATGAGTTGCAAAATTGAGCAAATGTCACACTTGCCCTTGCCCTTGTCCTCATTTCTGTGTCTAGACGCATGCATCTTTAGCTGGAAAGGAAAAGGATAAGCAGACAAGAATGACAAGTCCTGGACCACCCCGAAGGGACAAAAGTTTAGCAGTACACGAGATCATGGAATGGCAACGAATTGATCAGATTGCATGATCGAGTCTAACTACAATAATATCATGTAAAATAAGACCTATTTTATGTTATAGTGTGATAGCATATATGTTTCTTTGTTAATTAATTATGCCCATGAGGTTTATTTATAGCATATACTAATTAATTAATTTTTTTTAAGAAATAAAGATGTCTTTGGGATCACTTTTTACGTACCTTAAAATTAATTCTTCTTTAAACGTGTGTGAAGGATATTTTTCAACTCATAATTTTAGATATTCTATAAATAAATTTTTAAAAATGCTACCTACAAGAATTAAACTTTAGATCTATTTTACAAATCGATACTTATTTAATAACAAAATATCACCTTATAATTAATTCATTAATCTTTTTAAGCATGTGTTTAAATAAATGGAACTTTGAAGATGGCTTCCAGTCTTGAACAAAACGGTCACGACCTTTCATCCATTATTAGAGTTTTATTTTCTCCCCGTTGATATAATTGAATCCATTATAGATAATTAATATGTGCATTATCATTTCTCTCCAAATAGATTCGTGGGTGGAGTTACGGCTTCCCCCCCAAAAAAAAGAAAAAATTAAAATATAATACCATATAATATGAATTAATTAGCATTTCAATTCAAAAATTTACAACATGATTTATATTAATCATTAACATAATTTTTCAAATAAAAAAATAATTTTAACCCAAAAATTTAAATAATTGGACGAGACTTCAAGATCTAATTTATATTAATTTTTAACAATAACCAATTGAAGGTCATATAATATCAGACCACACACATATATATAATCTTGAAAATATTTTATTCTTTCATAACTTGGTTTACATTACATCATCAAAATCAAAAT